GATTTCTTCACATATACTTTAATTATTAGTTATAAAAAATCACTAAAAAAAAATTTTGTGCAGTAGTACTTGTTTATTGATTGGGGTAATGACTAAACTAAACAACGTGATTTATTTATGTTGCTTGTTGTTTATGATATATTTTGGGTAGATATGGTGGAATGGTAGTATGTTGGATTCTTGGGCTTGGATGCCTTGTCTCGTGGAACAACATGTTGACTATCGGAGATTACTATTATGATCAGTTCCCTGTAAGTATATAGCCCACTGTTAATTTCTATTTTTTCTTCTTTTTCATGACTAACCAGTGTTTGGATTATGGATTTGAGTGAAATTTAAAACCAAAAAGAGAGAGAGAGAGAGAGAGAGAGAGAGAGAAAGAAATGTGGATTAAATATAAATAAAATATAGTTTCATTTTACATACATTTCATCATCATTTTCCCTTTTTTTACCCAAATCAATAATCCAAGCACAGCTTGAATGTCACTTTTTTTTGTCTACTAATTACAAAGTAATTTTTAAGTAATTTGAACTTTTGTTTCTTCAAACTATCACTCTTGAGATCCTATGTCAACTAACTATTTGAGAGGATTAGGTAAGAATTTTCTAAATTGGCATCTTTTAATTGCTTATTTCCCTTTTTAGAAGAAAGCCCCATACGTAGAGCTCTCTCTCTGTGCAGTTCGCATTTTGACACAAAATCTAGGTTGGTGATTAGGTCTTCTTCTACACCATTTTTCTGGGTATTGATAGAACCATCAATGTTTTTCTTCATTGAAATCTTCTTTTACCACTCTCTGTTTCTTCCTCTTCTAGTCTTCTTTGTGTGTATATATATGTATCCATATATATAAATCAAAACCCATTAAAATCTAATGGCTCGTTGCCCCCCATGAATTGTTGGTTTGGGAAGTTGTTATGGCTTTTCCATTTGTTTGTTTGTTTGTTTTTTTTTTTTTTTTTTTTGCCTTCAAATTGTTTGATAAAATGTCTCTTAGGCTTTTCAAAAATCTAATCTACTTTGTCGTATCATCTCGAACCTAGAATCAAATGGGTGATTTCAATTATTGTGGGTTTTGATTGTTTTATAGTGAATTTTGATGATGCAATATGAATAAATAAATAAATAAATAAATAAAAGAAAAGCATGACAAAGCTTCAAAAACAGGTTCACGCTAAATGGTTTGTATAGTTTATATAATAGTATAGATAGAGTAAGAATTGGCTCCAGAATGGGAGTGGAGGAATTCACCAACGTGATCAGACTTCATCCATGCTGAATATGCTGTTCCGTTTATAATATAGAATAGATGTATGTATGAATGAATAAATATATTTCAATTGTGTAATATTTTTCAAAGCCATAGATTCAGTTTATCTCTTTTTTTATTCTTTGAGATGCTCAAAATTTAATAAATGGGGTTTCCACTTTTTCAGGCATAATTAAAGATTTGTATCAGCTTGTGATTCTTTCTTAGCATTGCATTGCTTTTCAAGTAAATATATATCATTCTACTTGGTAGCTGCAATATATATATCTAATCTACATGGATCTACTTGGTAGCTGCTTTTCTTAGCATTGCATTACCAAGTCTGCTAGCAAGTGTTTTTTGGCTCAGTTTTCATAAACTGTTTTTTGATTTATTGTTTTCAATGTTTTTTTTTTGCTTTTGGTCATTAGTGATTTTTTTTTATATATTTTAATGATTCCTTTTGACTTTTTAGATGAATCTAATCTACATGGATCTAAAATATATACATGAAGAAATCTATATAAAAAAAATAAAAGAAAAAAGTTCACTAAAGATTTTTTTTCTCTTTAATGAAGTTTATTTTATTTTTAGATTTCTTCACATATACTTTAATTATTAGTTATAAAAAATCACTAAAAATTTTTTTAGTGCAGTAGTACTTGTTTGTTGATTGGGGTAATGATTAAACTAAACAACGTGATTTATTTGTGTTGCTTGTTGTTTATGATTTATTTGTGTTACCAGTATAATCTTCATATAGGGAGGTTGGGTTGGTTTGACAAATTTTAACACACAAGTCAATCAACTGCTCGATTTTTATCATCTAACTCACCAAAACCCAACCCTCTCTTAAATTTCATCATCTGGTTTCCTTGACAGTTAGGTTCAGCAACATCAGGGAAAGGAGACATTGGAAATTATACTGGTATATGCATCATTGTAGCTACTTTGGGAGTTGCAGATGGCCATGTTCAAGGAGGGATGGTTGGAGACCTATCCTTCATGTGCCCTCCGTTCATCCAAGTAAGCCTTTCAAAGTGTATTATTTCTTTCAAGTTAATTATATTTAGGAAGACTTACGTGTAGATCTTAATAGGTAGACTTATTATCCAATAAGTCATATGATAATTAATGACATTTTTCATTAAATACTATTAAAAACGTCGCTAATTGTTAATTTTCAATGATAATTTAAAAATTTTATCACAAAAATGATATTAATTATAAGTTTTAATGACAGTTTTAAAAAAATCGTCACAAAAAAGTCACTAATTTTTTACTTTCAGCAACAGTTTGAAAAATTCATCACAGAAAAACATCATTAATTTTAAGTTTTAGCGACAAATTATAAAAATCATGACAAAAAAAGTCATTAATTGTCAATTTTTAGCAACATGCAAAAAATATCATAAAAAATTATTTTTACCGACGATTTTACTATGACTTATTTTTTATAGGACTTAATGGGAATTAATTTCAACTATTGTGCCATATTGGTAGTTTACCCTTATATTTAATACTATTATATTTTTATTAAAATTTGATTTTTAAGTTCTCTACTTTTAATTGTGACACGTAAGTCTTATATTTTATATCAATTTACCTTCCATCTATTTAATATTAATAAGGCTGATGAAATTTGTCATTAAAGTCATATGTGACATTTTTCTCACCTCATTAACACTTATATACTCTTACTAAAATTTTACTTTAGTTATTCCTTTTACTTTCTCCAAAATCTCATTGTAGGTCCACTACAAGAAAACTGGGTTTATGAGACGAAACTTTTTTGCGATGGCACATTTGCCGTCGCAAAAAATGACTTTTCGCAACGGCACAACTTACCGTCGCAAAAAACGTGACCTTTGAGACGGCACAACTTGCCATCGCAAAAAATAGAGTATTTGCAACGGCATAAAATGCTATCGCCAAAAAAAAAAAATATTTGCGACGGTAGAGATTGTTGTCGCAAAAAAATAGAGGTTTTGCGACGGTACAAGTTGTAGTCGCAAAAAAAAAAAAATGCAACTTTAATAGGTATCGTTGCAAAAAAATAAAAATAAATAAATACAAATATATTGTGGCTTTGAAACGGCTTCATATATATAGTCACAAAATGGTTTAAATAAATGTAACGGTATTTTTCTATCACAAAAAAAAAAAAAATTAAAAAAATAACGACGTCGTCTTACTCTTTTGAACATTTCTCTTTTCACCAATTTTTTCATCTTCCTATCTCTCTTTCTCTGTCTCTCTTCTCTTTCTCTCTCTTACTCATCACTCTTCTCTGTCTTTTTCATCTTCCTATCTCTCTGTCTCTGTCTCTGTCTCTCTTCTCTTTCTCTCTCTTACTCATCACTCTTCTCTGTCTGTCTGTATCTCTCTTTCTCTATTTGTCTCTGTCTCTTTTCTCTCTCTCTCTCACTCATCACTCTTCTCTGTCTGTCTGTCTCTCTCTTTCTCTCTGTGTCTCTGTCTCTCTTCTCTTTCTCTCTCTCACTCATCACTCTTCTCTGTCTATTTGTCTGTTTGTCTCTCTCTTTTTCTCTGTGTCTCTCATCTATTTCTCTACTTTCTATCTCTTTCATCTATCTTCTCTCTCTGTCTCTCTTCTCTCTCTCTTTTTTTCTCTCTCGCTCTCTCGCTCATCTCTTTCTGTCTCTCTCTCGTTTATCTCTTTTCGCTATTTTTTTTCTCTCTCTGTCTCTCTCTCTTTGTCTATATCTTTTCATCCATTTTTTCATCATCTTCTCTCTCTTTTCTTTCTCTCTCTCATTCATCATTCTTCTCTCTCTGTCTGTCTATTTCTCTCTCTCTCTCTCTCTCATTCATCTATCTCTTCTCTCATCTCTTTTCTTTCTTTGTCTCTTTCGCTCATCTCTCTTCTCTCTATCTCTCTCATCCATCTCTCTTCTCTCTATCTCTCTCACCTATCTCTCTTCTCTCTATCTCTCTCACCTCTCTCTCGTTCATCTCTCGCTCATCTCTCTTCTCTCTGTCTCTCTCGTTTATCTCTTTTCTCGCTATGTCTCTCTCGTTCATCTCTCTTCTCTTTTCTGTCTCTTTTTCTGTCTTTCACTCTCTATCTCTTTCTCTTTTTTTTCTCTCTCTTTCTCTCTCTCTCTCTCTCTCTTTTCTTTATCTCTTTATCTCTCTCCTCCATTGTGTTCACCTTGCTCACTCTCTCCGTCTCATTTTCTCTATTTACCGAGCTCTCCACTATAAGAAAATGCACTTTTAGCGACCACTTTGTCTCTCTCTCGCGCTCATCACTCTGTCTTTGTCTCTCTCTCTCTCTCTATCTCTCTTCTCTATCTGTCTCTCACCACCCATCTCCTCTACCACCTTCACCACTACTGCAAATATCATTCCACTACTACCACTGTTGCCACTCCACCTCTACGACTATCATTACTACCACCATCGCTACCACTCCACTACCACCACTACTACTACCATTACCTCTCCACCACCACCGCTACTCTATCTCCTATACTATTACCACAACTTCACCACTAATCTCCTTCGCCACCACTACCACCACCACTATCACCTCTTATCCACCACCTTCACCACTACTGCCACTCCCTGTCCTCTACCACAAAAAATTAGTTCTTAATTTTTAGTAACAAAAAAAAAAATGAGTCGCAAAAAAATATTTTTCATTGACCATAAAAAGTTAACTTTATTTTAATGGAAAATATTTTTCATTAAAATATTATCCCTACTTCTACCAAATAAAAATAATAATAATAATTTTTTATTCATTAAAATAAAATGAAACAAATAAATTTTCAACCTTAATAACTAAAAAAGAAATAAAAAAATTCATTAACTATACAAAAATTATTTTAACAAAAAATAAATTTTATTATCATCGTGAAAAAAAAATGATTTTATTATTTAAATATTCATTTGTAATAAAAATAAAAAAAATTCCAAAAAACATTTCCAATCCCTGACAATTGCTTGCCTCAAGTTATTACAATCGGAGAACAATGCCACTACCAAATGAAGAGGCGTAGACTCTTCGTGGCCGGCATTCATAGCCAGTTCCTTAGCCCTATCAACAAACTTCCTTGTACTTCTGTCCAACTTTCCAAGTCCATTGTTGATATTTAAACCTGCAGCAGAAAGAAAGAAATGTATAATAAAAATACACATCTATGTGGTCATTCTAGTGTTGGTTGATTTGCTGAATCAGAGTTGAGAGGGTAATTTGTAAACAAATTGGGCCGAGCTGGGAAGAGTCTTCTTTGGGAGCTGGGTCGCGTAATGGGCTGAGATAAGGGCCGGAGTATGGACGATGGTAGCTCGTGAAAGAGAGATGAAATCTTTGAAAAATCTTTCAAAACACCTTACTTAGGGGTTTGGAGTTGAAGAAAAGAGGAGAAGAGGGAAGAAATCCAGTTGGGGGAGAAAATGGGCATGAACCGTTAAGAAAAAGGCAAGCAGCCCTCGCCGAATCGGGCCTATTTATTTGCATACTTGGAATCAAGCTATGAGGCCACCACTGTTGGAAAGAAGACTTCCGGAGCTTCATTTTGCACTCAAGAATCTCCTAAAGCCAATTCCGGACGAGGGAGATATGGTTGATTGAAGTAGGGCATCACTCCGGTTGGACCGAATCTGCGCGGCTTCACCAAAATAGGCATAACTTTTCCTACAGGAGGAACTTCTGGGGCTTCAATTTGGACACTTGAACGGCCACCATTGGACTTCCCTATCACTGACCGGCCACCTTTCTTTCTGGCAGACCCATTTTTTGTCCTGAAAAATAGCAGGCCGACCAGAAAGGGTGGCAGGCCGGCCACCTACCTGGTTGGATGACCATTTTGGCCTTTTTGAGCTGGCCGGCCATGATCCCCTCCCCAAGTGTGTTCCAGGTGTGCAATTTGTTTTCCTCCAGACCCTATACCCGAGGGTCTTTCCTTTTGGGGGGAAATTTGAATTGGTTTTCCCCCCCATTTTTCCCCCTTTTCCTCCACTCCTTTCCCTATAAAACCAGCACCCTCAGCTGCATTTTTGGGGGTTTAGAAAAATCCATTGGAGCTCTTGCATTGAAGCCTCCCTCTCTCTCTACTCCAAGCCTCAAAATACCCTTGCTCCTACACCATTTCTACACCAACTCATAGCCTATCAATCCACACTCCATTCCAGAAACTTGAGGCTGCTTTCCAGAGGTAAAGAGCTCCCAAACTTGGCCCAAAAGTTGTTGAAGCTTGGCTCTACAAGGGTGAGTCTCTTTTTCCCTCTTTCTTGTCTTGTTTTGCATGCTATCTAAGCCATACTTGCAAGCTTTTTTGGGCTCCGACCCAAACTGTAAATAGTCATATTTTGACCCCCTTTTCATGTTTGATCAAGGACCTTTGGCTGTTTGAGGTCTCCTACTACCACTTTTCTCTTTATCTCTCTTTTAGGCCAATTTTTGCATAGTATTTTAGGCTTATTTGTGAGTTGTTTTGGACTTGGTCATAAACTGTAAAATAACTTTTTTTGAGCCCCTCTTCAACATTGTTGAAGGGCTCTCCTCTGTTTGAGGTCTCCTACTATCACTTGCCTCTTTATCTCTCTTTTAGGCCAATTTTTGCATAGTATTTTAGGCTTATTTGTGAGCTGTTTTGGACTTTTCCATAAAATTTTAAATATCTTGTTTTGAGCCCCTATTCAACTTTGTTGAAGGGCTCTCCTCTGTTTGAGAACAGCAGCTACCTCTTGTCTCTTTACCCCTCTTTTAGGCCTTTTCTTGCATGATAGTTTGGCCTTATTTTTGATTATATTCGTGGCTTAATGTAAACTGTAAAGTGCCTTTTTTTGAGCCCCTCTTCAACTTTGTTGAAGGGCTCTTTGCCATTTGGGGCCAGCTGCTGTCCCTTTGTGTTTAATCTCTCTTTTAGGGCCATTTTTGCATGATAGATTAGCCCTATTTGTGTTCATTTTTGAGACTTGTTATAAACTAGAAATATGCATGTTTTGGGACTGTCTTGTATCTGTCTTCATGCTTCATGATCAAATAATGCATG